GGCGCGCTGACTCCTTCACTGACTCGAATAACTTAATATTCTTTTTTATTCGTTCATGACTCATGATTTCAGAAGCATATACTGTACATGCACATACGCATATATATATATATATATATATATATATATATATATATATATATATATATATATATATATATATATATATACACACACACATACATATGCGCACATATAAATGTACATATGTATATATGTACATATATATGTGTATATATATATATATATATATATATATATATATATATATATAATATATATATATATATATATATATATATATATATATATATATAATATATATATATATATATATATATATATATATATATATATATATATATATATCGGTAAAAGATATGTTGCGAAGTATTTCATCATTTTCCCTTAATCTTAATTGCAGGTAAGGGAGCTTCGCAAGGCCAAAAATGCTATACCAGTTGTTTTGATGCTCAGTGTGTTCATGCTGCGAGAGCTCGGCGGGAAAGGGCCGGTCTTCAGCTACACCGTGTACATATTCCGCAAGGCAGAGGTGGAACTGGACGCATTTTATTGCACAGTTTTCGTCGGTGTTGCTCGACTTGTAAGCACGTGCGTGTCTGCTTGCTGTCTGGACCTGGTCGGTCGCAAACGCCTTCTCGTGGCGACGGCAGTGATGTGCGCAGTGTCGGAGGGCGTCGCCGGAGCCTTCCTCTTCCTGGAAGTGGAGGGGTTCGCGTGGGTGCCCCTGACATCTGTAATTGTCTTCGTGATCGGCTATGGGATTGGTCTCGGACCCATTCCCTGGACATATCTCGGCGAACTCCTGCCGACACCCGTCAGGTCTCTGGGAGCTGCCTTGATCACTTTTAGTTACTCCATTATTTACTTTATCGTAAACATTTTGTTCCTGAAAGTGATATCTTCCCTCGGCCTGGGATTGACGCTGCTGATATTCGGCACAGCTAATCTGGCTATCGCCATGATAGTCCTGTTGTTCATTCCCGAGACCAAAGGGCGGACTTTGCAAGATATGGAAAAGGCCTTCTCATCCAGGAGTAAGGGCAAGGCATCTCTTCAGCCAATCCCGACCGTCGCTGCTCTGGCAGAGATGAGGCAGACCGTCTTGCAAGGGAACAAAGAAAACGAAAGAACTGAAGACTGCTATTACAGTTATCGATATCAATCATTAGCTTGGTCCTATCATTATTAATTTTATTATGACCATTGCTATTTTTACCATTGTTTTATAATTGTTAATACTCTTTTCATTCTTAAAGACATTGTTGTTATTATAATTATATTAAGTCCATACTTGTTTTTCTTGTTAATTAAGGATTTTGATTGTGCAATCGTTGGCAAGTCTCAGTGTCTTGAAGCAACCTCTCTGCACTTTATCACTGACGGCTCGACATTCTTTGGGGAAAAATGAAAGATACGAATGCAGAAATTTTATTTTCAATGGCGTATTATAACCATGACATTCATAACTGATAAACGGATTTTTAAAACATGATGACTTTTACTCGCACTCTGGAATACACAGTTAATTTCACAAATTAGAAAACCATTACTTTTACAAATCAGACCCTTAAACCTGATTTTATCTGGAGTGCTGGCATAAGGAGCATACCCTTTCTCAATAATGGTCCATTCATTGAAATGTGTGGCCTTTGAGCCAGTGAATCTCGTGGCAGCCAATTCGACTGTGATAATATTGTTCGTCTGTTTCATTTACCCAAGAAACTGCATGTAGACTTACATGATATCGACAGCTTGCAATCCATTAGGAACAATAACTTTCCAACCTGCTCAGAAAAGCGTTCAAGCTCGTGGTACTTCAAATCATCTTGAATGAAAAATGCAGATCCTTATCTCTCTCCTAATAACTGAGTGTGAACTGTGCAACTATTACGGCATGTTGTTTTTCATGCGGGACAGATTAA